AGACAGAATGATTTTGTTGATTTTGTTTCGTATAATACCAAGTATTGATTATGACCGTATTTTGCCTTTTGCCTTTTTATTTTATTGATAGTATTTCTAACTGTTATTGATTTTAATGCTTACTATTTTGCTGCTACTTATTATTGTCTTTAAATGTTGTTGTTTTCATCTTTGTTTTTAAAAATTTACTATCAAATAATGCAAATTTTAAATTATGCAATTAAGATTTGGTGTTTTACCGCCAGCTAATTTCTCCAATTAAGTATCATCTTGTAAAAGTATAATTTTAGGTGGCAGATTAGGCCTTAATTTTGCTATTATCAGGCATAATGATATCTACATGCTAGCTTAGCTTGATGTCCTCTATAAACAGTTTATTTAATAAATCTCAAGCTGACATAATGTTGTCTATGCAGTTCAATGATTCTTGGAATAGCACTTAGCTAGAGGTATAACTTTCTTGGAATTGTAACATATAGACTAATAATGCTTCTGCTTCATGTATAGCGGTATAGCACTACACGGCATAAAATGCATTTCTGTTGATTCATTCATTTCTCACCGGATATCAACCAAGCCACTCTATCCGCTGATGTTCAATGATTGGCTGTGGCTGATAGTGACAGGGCATGCGTCAGCTTTATAGGGCCAGCTTAGCAGACGTCACATCATGTCTGATGAGTTGCTGGCCCTGCAGATGTTGTTCCTTTATCTGCTGATCTGGCCCTGTTGTGCTCGGCTTTTTCTGCTGAGTTGACTCTGATTGTGTATTTTTCCAGCTGCCGGTACTTGTATTACCCAGAACCAATTTAATCGTTGTAATTGCACAATGTACAGTTGCATTCAATAATAAGTGAAGGGTATAATAGCTCAGACTGTGAACATGATGATACATTGATACCTAATGCTTGAATGACATTACTACTGTGTGAGACGCCACAATAGCCTACAAGTATGTAGTGTATTGTTTCAGCTATAAAATATGCTTCTCCTAGTTCTTTGAAGGGACAACTGTCAGATAATTATTATACACAAGAACATAATAATAGATGATGCAGCATCCCATGTGGAAACACGTGGGTAGGTAAGTACGCATGCTCAGTATTGTGGGCACGTGGGGTGGTACTTTTGAAGAAACAAGATGTCGAAAAGAGGTAAGGAAACTGAATCCATTGTAATCCATTGTTAAGGATACATAGAGAGGGAGAACTTTAGGCCTTTAACACTGTATTTTAATTGTACTAGCATTTAAAAGTACAATAAAAGACATTTTTATTATGGTATAACAATTATTATTTCTAGATATAATTTTATTTTTATTATTTTTTTAGCTGCTAAGGGATCTGCTGGTTCCAAGTTCCGTATGGCCCTTGGTCTCCCAGTGGGTGCTGTTATAAATTGTGCTGATAACACTGGAGCTAAGAACCTCTACATAATAGCAGTGAAAGGTATCAAGGGTCGCCTAAACCGTCTGCCAGCAGCTGGGGCTGGTGATCTAGTCCTGGCTACTGTTAAGAAAGGAAAACCTGAATTAAGAAAGAAAGGTAACGGAGCGTGTATTATTAGTTATTATTAGCAAGAGTACATAATATATATAAAGAGAGTATCGAACGGCCCTATACAAGCTGCTGCATGAGGGCGTATTTGCTCAAAGTCACAATCTGCATACT